TATGAAATAGGTTGTGGTTTGTTATTGGGATAAAAAGCACTTTCAAAAGAGAATTATAATTGTTTGTTTCACATTGTGGTCATTTCAGATGACCAATCTGGTCTGGAAATAAGTCATGACTCCCATCTTAAGTCTTTGTTACCTAGTGTGCTTAATTTAGTTTAAGCCTTGATTGTCTCGATTTAATATTATATTTAGTCAAAATCAATGTTTTTTCCTTTGAAAGATTGGTTGCTTTTGTGTAAGTGATCCTAGTAATGGTATGGACTCTGTAACAAATATGTGTTACTTTACAAAAGCGCATCTTTCACAGTATCTAAAGCAGTGCTGTCTGTCTCAGAAGCCTTGAGAAATGCCCTTGTAGTTACCAGGAGCTTTACCAACACTCTTAGACACCTTTCCACGATGCTCAGGCTTTACATTCCCAATAATACACATGAAAAAATTATGTGGGTCTGATTGGCTGAAAAGGAGTGCATTTTTTGTATAGCACAAGTGCAAAGTTGTAATGCAGGATGCTCAGGCCTTACATTCTCAATAATACACATGAAAAAATTATGCGGGTCTGATTGGCTGAAAACGAGTGCATTTTTTATATAGCACAAATGCAAAGTTGTAACGCAAATTAAAAATAGCTCACATTCTGCCAAATCTTTTTCGTCTTGACTTTCTGTAATGTGTTTTTCATGCAAATTATTAACAAGTGAATGACTTGTGAATTTTTCAAAGACTATGAATTGTACTTGCTCTTTGGGCTTGCTCAATATTTTTGTCCTAGAAAATTTAATTGTGCTTGTTAACACTACATTGCAGACAATATTTTGTTGTTACCTATACTTATAGGGTTAAATAACTGTCAGAGTAGGAAGTTCCTCTTTCCCCTCCCAAAAAAAAAGGAAGGAAGAAATGCATTAAACTGTATTTTACAATATCCCTTCTTACTTTCAGTCATTTATTTCCAATAAATGGGACTTTTTTCATAATAATATTGTACCATATCCCTTTCCACGGCACTCTCTCTAGGGGGTTAAGTTGACTATAATGCAATTTTCAGTGTATGAGTTATCAATATTCTGTTTTTCTAGTGCTAGTGAAAGGCTTTTAGAAATGCTTGGTACCGTGGTGGCTTATGTGGATGATGTTTTGGTGAGTCTTTT